CCTTACTTTAGCAAAGGAAAACCAGACTCCGCTTGGCTTATATCGAAATCCTCCGACATTCTTCTTCACAAATCCTCGTTATGTACTTCTAATAAGTGACCGGTGTTTTGTTTTGATCTCTCCCCTGCGCTTCCGCGTTCGTCACTTCTGAGCGGCGCATGCGCAACGCTGAACTCATGCGTCATCCGCCCGGAGCTGCTTCCGTGTACAACTGTTGGCACAAGCTACATTAAAGTGATTATTACGTTTTGAATATGGATATTTTTCTTACAAAAACGCATCGATTCGCTACAGGAGGCCTTTGTTCACCCCCCGGAGCCGTGTGAGACACTTTTTTTTAATGGATGGGCGCTTTTTATTTAACTTCTTTTGGACTGATGCATGCAACACCCGCTGAGTGCCATGAAACAGCTTGAAAGATCAAAGACAATTTTTAACATAACTCCGACTGGATTCATCTGAAAGAAGAAAGTCATATACACCTAGGATGACTTGAGGGTGAGTAATTTTTGGGCTAATTTTCATTTTGGGTGAACTAACCCTTTAACAAGCTTTGCTTTTTTAGTCCCAGTTACTGGTATGTGAAGCTCTTTAAATTCAGTTAATTTTAATTCTGCTTCCTTTCAATTCTGTATCCTATTTGCTAACTCAGTTCAAATTCAAGATCTGAATTGTAACATAAAAGTCACATTTAATTTCATTCTGAATGAAGCACAACCCTGATTGTTAGTTGCGATTACTATCATTATTTTTTTAACAAGAAGCTGCTTGAAACAAGGTACATTGGGAAAAGCCTATATGTAAATGAAATCATCTTTATTGTATATGACCAATAAGCTACTACTAGAGGCTGTGCATTATAGCAGTCCCCCCCCCCATATTTTCTGTATGAACACAAACAGCCATTAACTGTGGTAAAATCACTCTAACTCATGTCTGTGTTACACAACATATGTGTGTGCTGGAGTTATTCTTTGTTTCCATTGTTCCACCCTCTCCCCTGTGCTGGATGCTGGTGAAGGTGAGCTTCTTGAAGTCTGTGCCAGAGCCTCAGGGGTTGTGACCTTTGTCTCTCTCTCTCTCTGACATCTTTAGCTCACTCACTGTGGTTGATCTGCAGTTGCCCTACAGCTGTGACCCCCTCCCTCTCTCCCATTTCCCAGCAGCCCCCTCTTCAAAGGCCACCAGAAATGTGACAGCTGGCTGAAGAACTTCTCCTTTCATTAAGAGTGCTCACTGAGCCCTGTTGTTGTTCGTGGGCAACTGGTGGTGTGTTGACCTCGTGCCACAGAGCATAAAAGAGCTTAAAATTGATTCACACTTAACTTATGTTGGAGTTAACATATAATGGGTTAATGTCACGATAAACCCTTACGCAAAGCAAACATATTTCCTTATATATGAATGATCAATATATTAAATGATAAATTGATAACGGTATATTAGAAATTATACAGAATAATATATTGTGTAAATGCAGTATTACAATATATTGAATAATACGTAAGGAATTGCCTCTTTCATATATTGAAAAATATGTGACAATATTACTTTACTTAATTTATTTACTTATATATCACAATGTATGTAATTTTATATCCAGTAATACACTTTATAATATATAAATGTACAGTACATGTGATAAGATATGGTACTGCATGTGAATAAATATATTGAACATATATTTTCTCATACAATATATATATATTAAATATATATTTCTTATGTTCAACAATCATTTACAATATACACGTTTCATTTTTTAAATATAGATAGTTTACAATAGCATAAGCACACCAACTCATACTAAAGCTGAACAGACTATCACTGTCCTGAAAAGTGCACATCCATTACCTTTTAAATAAAATAATATACCGTCTCACTGGCCAATCGTCATCCTAACCACAGGCTCTATTCTTCAGCACAATGGTAACCCCACAAACTTACACATACCAGAAAACCCTTTTAAATTAAAAAATAATACAACATTAAACACTTACAGATCTCCCCCTATAATAATAATAATAATAACATAATAATATCCCACTATACATAATATTTACTCTCCTTTAACAGTCAGAAGCAAAGCATGCTGGGAACTAGAAATCTGCTTTAACTCATTCCATGAATGTGTGAATATACATTCACATTTATATGGGAACATGTATGTGCAATATATACTCAATAAAGGATCAAACTTTATCAATATTAGATGCATTTTTGTCTTCATTTCTAAATATATTTCTTTGTATCAATATATAGCTATACATTGTCAATGCATATATTGCTGTATATTGAAAAATTGAAGCACTGGTTTCCGATATATGGATTATATTTTTCAGTATATTCTCATATAATTTTGTTCCGTAAGAGAATGGACTGATATTTGAAGTTCAGTGCTGGAACAGATGTGGTCTTGTGACCTTTGCTAATATGAGGTTTTGTTCATGATATGAGAAAACCTTGAATATGCATGCAAGTTCAGGCTAACAAGTTTTAGTTCTCAGTTTCAAGCATTAAAACTAAAATTTAGATTTTTCAATTAACTTCAATAAACAGAACAATTAATTGAGTTTTGAGTGTTTATATTTGTATGTGTATTATTACAGGTGCATCTCAATAAATTAGAATATCGTGGAAAAGTTCATTTATTTCAGTAATTCAACTCAAATTGTGAAACTCGTGTATTAAATAAATTCAATGCACACAGACTGAAGTAGTTTAAGTCTTTGGTTCTTTTGAATTTATTTAATACACGAGTTTCACAGTTTGAGTTGAATTACTGAAATAAATGAACTTTTCCACGACATTCTAATTTATTGAGATGCACCTGTATAATTAACCTCACTTTGTACAATATTAATTAATTAATAAATTAAAAATATATTAAAATATACAATATAAAGATATTAGAACTAGAACATTTTATATATTATATAATAAAAATGAAAAATAATTTTTTTTCCCAGATTTTTAAGAAAACTTCTGTTTATGATCAGCTCAAATTCAACTTCATGGGTCATGGACTTTCAGTGCAAACATTTCCACAAATCACTTTTAAATGTGAAAGTATGCTTTAGTTTCAAGCAATCTCACTGAGGCCAGATTGAGATTAGAACTACTGGTACTGAGGGCAAAGGTCGGAGAGTGACTGCCGTAACTAACACATTTCTACAGAATATTGCCGAAGATTTATTTCCACTCTCAAAGTTGAGGAAATTCCCCAGACTGACCCACAAAACCTCTGAACTTCATATAAATGTTAAGAGAGCTGAGAGTTAATACAGAGGTGGAGGTCAGATTTATCTGATTTTGTTTGATTAAAACCATGAATTCTTCACTGTGAATTCTTTATGAGAATAAAGTGCCAAGTGTACTATAAGCGTTATTTTTAATTTAACTTTACAGATTACAGCTGTAACATGAACTCACATAACTCACATAATTGCAGTATGATTACATTCTAGTGACCTCTGACCTGTAAATAAAAAACGGGGCTATCTTATGTAATCAGAGAGAGCTGTGCTTAACTACCGTACAGGAAACAATTTTGATATCCCTCAGATTATTACTGTAGATACACACATGCTGTGAAATATCACACACTATAAGGATCACGAGAGACCAAACCTCATATTTATACGGAGTTGGAGGGGGGGATCAGGAACATGGCTACAAAACAGCACATTCAGTGTTATGGTGTGCCTTGTTTGAACATATATAATTGGTTGAAAAGACTGAAAAGGTGAGTTCATAGCTTTCATCAAACAAAGAGCAGTACAAACATCCCCACCTCTCATTAGTGACCTCTTGAGTCCTCTTGGCCTTTACTCTGCTGCCTGGGTCAGAGCTTATGCAACGTTACACTGACTGAAAACATGTACATGAGCGCCACCTGCTGGTAGAACACAGGACATATGAGTTTTATAAGGACCCGTTTTTATACAGTTTATGATAAGGACTAATATGAATCGATATTAAGATGCATATGAAGCAGCGTGCACACTCTTTTTAATTAATTGCTTTAATATTCAGTCTGTGAAGGGTCATACTTACAATTTAAAAATACTAAATACTAATAAATAAAAATAGGATAGAAATAGAGTATATTTTTTAGATAATATACCCCCGGTTTCACAGACAAGGCTTAAGGATAGTCCCAGACTAAAATGCATGTCTGGGCTGTTTTAACTGAAAGAAACGTGCACTGACTGATTTCAAAATATGTCTCAAGATGCAAACCAGTAATGTTTATTTCTAAGGCACGTTAATAAAAACGACTTAAATGTCCAGATTGAACTATGTCCTAATCCTGGCTTAATCTAAACCCGGTTTATATATCACACTTTCTCTCTCTCTCTTTTTGTGATTGACAAAAATATGTCATACGTCATACTGCATAGCATATTTAATTAACTGCGTTAATTTTCAGTCTGTGAAGGGTCATACTTATAATTTCACTAAACAGAAACAGAAACACAGTTTCTTCTGTGTGAGAGCTTTCACTTTCGTTTCATGAATGTAACAGAACTCACAGTCAGCTGACTTTAGCCTGTCTGTATGCAGCAGTGTTTACCTGGGCAAGTTGTCATATGTGAAATGTTTAAAAAGCATTTCAATTTACTACAATTTAATAATTATATCCTAAAGTCTGTTGGCTCAAAGCAATGCTTTGTTATTTTTGGATATTAACTCTTACAGTTTAATTAATTATTTTGTGTTTCATAATCGTTTTACAAAACAACCTATATTTGCTGGTTTCCTTTGTGACAACTTACCCCATTCAGCGTGACAGTATTTATATATGCGTGTACAGGCAAATGTATTTAATTTTGGGGAAATAACATCGGGTTTTTTTAGTCACGTCTTTATTGATTAGATTTGTATTGCTTTATGTGTGCATTGTTTTGTTTATACTCGTTTCAATGTGTGCGTATAGGGGTGTGTATATATACACAAAACCATCGCTATGACGTAGGCGCGCGCGCGTGTGATTCAGACCCAGCTAATGGATATCAGAGATGTGAGAAGTGTTTGTACTCTTCGAGTACTCTGCAACGCCGATGAGTACAGGGTTGTTGTTGTTGTTTTTTTAAACTCTCCCATATTAAACTACTGTAATCCCTGTATGCTCGGTTTTTCCTCTCGAACCTGAGTCAATTTCGCCTGGATCGGAACCGGCCATGACCGTGGAGCAGAATGTCCTGCAGCAGCACTCTCAGAAGGTAACGCGCGCACACACAGACCCGGTTCGGTCGGTTCGGCCCAGTTCGGGTTGTCTCGGCTCGGTTCGTTTGGTGTCATAAGGAGGTTTATGGGCGCGTTGAAAGTTCCAATGGTTCAGTTTGATTGCTGAGGCCTAGTGTTAGCATCACATTAGCAGCGCCTCACGTTTCTGTTTTTGCTTTTATTCGCTGGACTATTAATGCTTACACACGTATGCGTTTTAAATCAGTTAAACCGTTTAAAACAATAAACAACTATACGTAAAACAGCCTAGGCCCGCTAAACTCAACGTTAATCAGTCGTGTTTGTGCTAACAGAGCTAAAGCTACTAAACTTCCCCATCAAAACTCACTTAAATCTCACTAAATACCCCGCAAAGTCTCTGTCTGAGTGTTCAGAAGTGTTATGGTATCTCATGTTGAGTTTATGTTTAGTGTAGCGGGTTTGTTTATGTTCTGACACCCACACTGCCGCTTCATAAAATATATTCATACTTTTGTCCTTATGTTTGTAAACATTAGGCGTTTCTTGTTGGTTCGAGCCTTATGTTTGTCCGTTTATTCAATCTGTTTTTAAACTTGATATTTTGTCTTGTTGGTTTGTGTTTATGTCGGTTTCAATTTCGTCTGTTTGTAAACGGGCTGTTCAGTAGACGTGCCATTGGGTGTTTATTTTTTTCAGTTTTATTAGTTCATAAACATTAGTCTGGTTGTTTTGTGTCATTATTTCATTTGTTTGTAAACATCAGGGCTTTCTTTTTCATTGATTTAAATTTCATTTATTTTTAAACGTTTATATTTTTTGTTTTTGTCATTTTAGCTTTTAAATTTAATGTCATGTTTGTAACTAGGCTCTTGATGTGTCTGTTTTTTATGTTTTTATTTGTTTGTAAAAAAAAATTAGGCTTTTCTTGTTAGTTTTTGTAGATTAAAATGGAATCTGTGTCTTTTTTGTAGTGGTTGTTTAACATTATACATTTAAAGTGCTCACTGAGGGGCTGCTTTGGCTTTTAATAGAATAAAGATCTATTTAGTTTAATAGGCAGATCGTTTATCAGAGTATTATGCAGTAACTAAAGAGTTACAGCAGGTGGTGGGGAATATAAAACTATGTATTTTGCATAAACTGAAAGTGAACAGGCTGTAAGTTTCAGCAGCCCTGATTTGGCTGCGAGCTTGTGTTGCTTTATCATGTTACTGTTGAGAAATGTGTGTTACATAGCCCATCTCAGGGAGGGCTGTGCCACCTTTAGAGGGTTGGGACGTGCACTCTCCCGCACATACCACGTTTCATGTCATATCTTGAATGTTAAAGCATACAATGCATTAAAAGGTCAGTGCAGCATCTGTTAGCTGCTGGCTACTAGTTTGTTATGTAATGATGTCACTAACTTAGACTTATTATGAGGCAAGCAGAAGAACATTTGTATAAGATTCGGTAGAGACCAAAGCAATGGTTAGACGAGTAGAAACAGATCAGTCATGCTGTATTTCGGTCTAGGGAGGAGTGCTGTTCCTCCCTCTTCCGCCTGGCACAGTCTGTGTTTGACTCATGCCGTTCCTGATTGCAGCCAGGAGGACTGAGATAAAGGGCCAGTACTCTCTGTTTCCCAGCCAGAGGTGTGAGATGTTGTTCTGTTTGTTCCTGAGTGGTGCTGGTGACAGCAACCAGTTGCATCCTGGTCTTGCAAAGCCGGACTTTTAACATTTGATCCATTTGGCAACTTATTCTGCCAAAAAACGCCACTTAGACATGAAGAGACATGTAAAATGACCAATACAGTTTGTCTTGTTTTTAAATATGACATTTAGAAGTGGATACATTTTAGAACAAACAGGTGTGCTCATGGATATGATATTTATCTCCCCTGAGATATTGAAATTATATACAATTTTAAGTAAATAAAAAATAAAGCACTAAAAATTATATTTAAGCATCACAACATTATAATGTGCAGTTCCTTTATTTTTATTTATTTTTAAAAAAATGTTTTGATTTTGTCAGTTTGTGATGTTTAAAAATGTGTTTCTCTTGTGTTTTTCTCACAGCACCAGCAGACATTACTGAACCAGCTGAGGGAAGTTACTGGAACTACAGATGTTCAGCTGTTACAGCAGGCACTGCAGGTGAACCATCTGTTTCATTAACTCACTAACTAGTATAGTATGGCTTGTATGCTTTACTTGCAACAGATTTGGTAGATGAAAATTTGATATTATTTGCTCAAAGACAAGTTGTTTCTTAGTGTATGTAATGAAAGGTGTTCAAACATCTGTATTTGTGTCCAGGCCAGTAACGGTGACCTAGCCGAGGCGGTGGCCTTTCTCACCGAGAAGAACACCAAGGTCCCACAGCAAGATGAAGTATTTGTGTCCAGGTCAGTAACGGTGACCTAGCTGAGGCGGTGGCCTTTCTCACTGAGAAGAACACCAAGGTCCCGCAGCAAGATGAAGCCACCTATTACCAGACGGCCCAAATCACCAATGATAGATACATCAGTGTGGGCAGCCAGGCTGACACAAGTACGTATTTAAATCTCAGAACAATGATGGGCCGGAATCCAGGGGAAGGTTACACTGCTCTGTGGTGCAGTACAATGAAATGCCATGGTGCAAATGCAATCTGAATGAAGAACCCCAGCTGTAAATGCCCTGTTCCTGACAGCAAAAATTATTTCATTGCTTTTAATTAGTCATTTTAACTGAACTTCGGACTGGTGGTGGTGCTTTTTTGGTCATTCAGTGTTTCTGTAAAAAAAGGAAAAACTAAGAATAATACTGATAAGATGATAATAATAATAATATTATTATTAAAAATAATAATAATTATTATAATACGAATTCCCAAGTAGATATAACTGCAGACCGGAGATCTCCAAAATGGGGCGTGAACTCCAAAAGTGGGCAGAACCT